AACTTCTCACCGCATGCCTGCTGTAGCTCCGCTTCAGGACTGTCGTCTGGGTGAATGAGTTTCAATAAATCAATTAACTCCATTAAATCATTTTCAAGCGGTTCTATGATTTTGACCTCCTAATATCGGTGAAGGAAGGGTATAATACTAGTGACCATCATGTAAATTTACACCTCATGACGAAGTTTCATCGCATTTAAAAATTTTGGGGTCCAGATAGTAAATGCCTCTAATGCTTATGCCTCTTTAACTACTTATTATATTTGCTCTTTATCAAAGAAGATCTTCTTGTGTCTATAGTATCTCCTCTCAAATTCTCTGCACTATGCACCAAGTAATGTAGCCAGTGTTCTGCTTTTTGTAAGTTTTTAAGCAACTAACTGCATGTTCCTATAGTGATGGGTATGCTCTGTTTGTCCATTCGTTCCTTTGCCTGCAAATCAAAAAGTGTGAATAGATTTTCAAAATTGTTAATTTTCAGATCTTGGGCCACAAGTTCGATATCCATGTGGAAGACCTCAGCCTCGTCGAGGTGAAGGCAGACGAGGTGGGGGTGGAGGTGGAGATGGACGTCCAGAGAGGAACAGAGATCCAGTGCACCGTCCCAAGCGTGATCTGTCATCAAATGCAGATGCAAAATTCAATAAGAGAATGAGGTCGCACATCACTTTGTGAGTTTGCGAGGAAATGTTCAAGAAAGTGCTGTTCTAGGATTTCTCCTTCACTTGATGCTTCGCCTATCAGTAGCGATTCGTCGCTTTCGCCCGAACGTAGCCCTCGGAAGGACGTGCCAACACCCAGTGGGAGTAAAAATGGGGACAAGACAGGTAAGATCGCCAGGTCCGCAGTTTTCTCTAATTATGGCAAAGTTCTTCTTTTCAGGTGGCGGCAAAAAGCCGCTGGCAGGTGGAAGTGCAATGGGGAACGTGACGGACCCCTGGGCGCGCAAGAAGAAGCCTACATCTGCCATGAACAAAGAAAGTAGTGGGAAGCGAGGAAGAAGGTCATCCAGCAATAGCTCGTGAGTTTGTTGAGAACATTAGTTTAGTTTCATTTTCCCGACAAATTATGTTTTCTCAAAGCTTATATGGTGCCTTTTCTAGAAGTAGTTCAGCAAATAGCCGCGAAGAGCTAAGACATGCCCCACCTACATCTGGTATTCCTCGACGGTCTCATAGTCCTTTTCCTAATAAGGTAAGAGAGATTTTCGTTATGACAGAATCGTAATATTTTTAATAATGAAACTAGTGTTCAATTCAGAATGAAAGAAGGCTCTCACCACCAAGAGGTGACATCACTGGATTTCGCATTCCAAAGAAACATCGATCAACAGACAGTCGTGGGCGCCCACCTAGGTTCGCTAATCCAAGCATTTGCTTTCATCACCTTGAAGATGTGAAACTGGGTCATTTCAGTGACGCGCGTCCAAGCAGTGAAAACAAGGGTAAAACAGCAGATTGTGCGTTTGGAAAAAAACATTTTGTAGGTTCACGTAATTTTGAGTGTTTCTTTTTGCTGCTTTTGTCATCTATTGCTCATCATGTCTGATGTTTAGAAAGAGGCTAAAAATGATGAACATGATCGTATTTCTGATGACGATGCAGTTGTAGACGGAATTGACAGTCATGGTGCAGAAAATATTAGTGATGTGAGATACTCATTTATTATTTTTTAGTGTTTACATGATCAGTTGAGCTTGTCTTTCACCGTTATAACAGCTACATTGCACTACTTTTTTACACCCGTTTCATTAATTTTATAGCAATCTGTTTGTAAATTTTGAGTCCATTTCACTCATTTCGTAGCTTCTGACTGTTATAGTTCATATCTTCAGACTCTGTCCAGTCTGGTACGTGCATACTTTTGAGATTGAACATACTAACAAGTGCTAAGCTGAAAACGAATGAAAGTATTAGACTTTTTTGAAAACTAAGGGAAAAGGAAGTAAGGATGCTTGGGTAAAAGGGAAATTAATCTAGGTGGGAAGGTTGTCAAAGTCATTTTAGCATTCATTCAACCCACTGACGACCTCCCCATTATTAGTGCCTGGCGCTGACCAGTGCTTATGCTACTTTTGTATGAAGGTAAATTGCTATTTATCAAACATTAAAAATCTTTAAAAATTCAGTGTGATCACCCCTGCAGGCTCACAGTCATCAAACTAGATAATTTCTCTTCTCTTGAAGCATTTTACGTAGTACTATCCATTTGTTATATCTACGGAACCCTCATTTTTGAAAGGCAAGCCAATCAGTCTTTATAACTTTTTTACAGTCCGATTCTGCGCGCTCGGGATCTCGAAGCTCTTCTGTGTCATCGTCTTCGTCAACCTCGTCCCGTAGCCGTTCTCCATCACCGGCTCTACCTGCAAAATACAGAACGACTAGCAC